ATATTCGGAGAATATGCTCAACGTGGGCGGGCCTCTCGCCGGGGGGTCAGATACTGCTCCCAAACCGGGCCAGCGTGGCCCAGACGTGGCGCTCACCAAGCCCGGCACGCTGGAAGCCACTCGTCTGCAGAAGGAGACGCCAAACAATGCCCGATTTTCCATTGTCATCTTCTCGGGCGTGCCATGTGATACAAATCCATCTCTGGCTGCCTTTTCCACCAATCTGGACAAGTCGGTGGTGTTGATGAAGCCTGGCGTGCCAGTGAATTGGCTAACAATTCCGGCGGCGGTAGGTCCGTCAGCCTTTGAGTTGCTCGATGGGAATCCTGTCGGTAAGGTCTTTTATGACCGGGACCAGACAGCTCACAAGCGCTACGGCGTGCCTGTTGACCAAGGTGCGGTCGTGGTGCTGCGGCCGGATGGATGGATAGGCACAACAGTCAAGCTAGGAGAGAATGCAGTTGCCGAAGTAGAGAGATATCTCGCCGGCTTTCTTGTTTTGTGATGTCTGAAGAATTTCATTCTTCGTGATCGGATATGGTTGTGTTCACTAACCTCTCATGAAATAGTATTCCACAGTGGAATACCATTCCGAATAGGTATAGCGGTGTCCTAATTAGGAAGTAACTATTTTAATTAGTATTCCACTAGTTTTAAATAATATTTCACTATTTATCTTCTATATATAGTATCTAGATATAATTTCAGATAAGATACTAATATAAGTTAATAATAGACTAACCTATTTAGGAAATAAATAAATAATTTCGATTTATACTATATTTAAATAGTATTTTACTATTTATCTTCTATATATAGTAACTAGTAAATAAGGACTTACTTAATTATATAATAGACTAACCTAACTATTATATTCTAGCAAAATCGACCCGAATTATATATAAAATTAAGGTTTTAGGAGTAGTCTTAGTACTAATTCGAGCCGATTTTTTCGGACTAGTTTTACTCTAAAGATCCTATTTTAACTAGATCTAGAGCTAATTCTAATCGATCTAAAAACTAATCCTAATTAGATCTGATATTAGTTTCTTTTCTCTCTATAACTTAAAATAGTCTAAAATTTAGATTAATAGTCTTCTTTTCTCGCTATCTCTCGAAATCTAAATAATTTATAGATATAGAATCTATAATAGTAAAATTAAGAATTTATTAGGATTTATCTTAATTTATACTACTTTAATACGTTTTAATATAATATTATATTAACTAATAGTCTTAATCTAAAATCTCTATACCTTCTTCTCGGGCTATGGTTAGACACTAATACTAGGATAATCCCTATAATATTTATACTATCTAATAGAGCTTCTAAAGACGAATATAATAATATATAGCTTATCTCTCTAGAATCTCTCTAGCGTAAGATATTAAGCGTTAAAAGTAAGGCCTTTTCGTGGAATTATAGGAAGGTTAGCCGAGTGTGATAATTCCCCGCCGGAAACGGCTAGGTCGCTAAGAGCGTGATAATTCCCCGCTAGAAACGACTAGTCCGCTAAGAGCGTAATAATTCCTAACTATAAAGTATAACGCGCGCCTAGCTAGCTATTACTAATCTAAAATAAAACCTATTAGCTCTTACGTAAGTTTCTTCTATCAATATAGCTTATAGGATATCTTTGTATACTATTATACTTCTATAAGACGAATAATTATTTATTTTATTTATAAATATATACTAGATATAAATAAATCTACTAAATATTTATATATATAAACGCCGTCCTATCTAGATCTTAGTATTATCGCTCTATTAAAGTCCTTACGACTTTTTTATCTTTTTTATCTTTTTTATCTATCCTTATATTCTACTTCTTCTACTTCCTTCGTATAAATATTTCTCGAGATTATTTATAATAATATTATTATCTACTATATTATATAAATAATTATTTATATCGATAAATTAATAAGAGATATCTAAGAGATCTCTATATAATCCCTAACTAAGCGATCTATTATATAGATACTATCCGAACTAAGTCTACTAGAATAGTCTATAGATAGGCCTATTCGCGATCTTAAAACCTATATTCTAGGTACGTAAGTCTCCTACCTTAATAGAATGAATAATTACTTATTTTCCCGTCTAGAGTTTACGTCTCCGTCTATCGTCGACTAGCGCGGTCTTTTCTAACGACCTCTATTCGAGGGACTCCTATACTTTAGCCTCGATTACTATAATAACTATCTCGATCGCTAGCTCTATTCTATCGACCTTCTCGCGATACCTAAGTTCCTAACTACGGATATTTATAAGAATATCTACTAGCTTACCGGTTCGACCGAGCTCTATACGTTCTAAGTCGGAGTGATTCCTTTCGGTATTTATATTAACTAATATATTCTCGATCTCCTTAATAATCTAGGTAAAGTCGAAGACAACTTTAGCCGCGGTAAGTAAGTCCTCTAGACTACTTAATATCTCGACTATCCGCTCTAGCTTATAGACTTCCTCCGATACTATATAGAAAAGCGTCTATATATAGATAATTAATTCTTCTATCGCTTATACCTTAATCGGGACCTTCTACTCTACCTTCTAGAGTTAAATCTCTCACAATATTGTACAAACATCGAAGGGTCCAAGGTTTGAATGGACTAATCAGAGTGGCTAGGGTTAAGGGTACAGAGGGGTCAAAGGTTTGCTTTTTGAACGTCAAAGGTTTGCACTTCTCGGCGGAATTTTGGGCTGATAATTGGTAGGCAGGGTAAACCAAGTACGGGGAGTGCGCTGAGAGCAATTGCACAACACCATGAGGTCGGGTTGTGGTGCTGTAGAAGTTATATGGTGAGGGTCCAGGGGGTTAAAGATCGGCTGAAAGGAGTTAGGGCTTAGATGGCTGACATAATTATCTATCGCTGCACGAACCACGCGCGTCGAATCGCGAGCCACCCGAAATGTTTAGTAGCCAATAGAGGTGAAGAGAGTGACTGTTAATACACTGAATAACCCACCAAGTCCCGTATCCACCATTAAATAGATGGAGCATTTCGAGCGTGTCTTTGATCATTAGTCACAGTACCGTGTGATTTACTATCGATAATGTCGATTCTGTCCCGTGCCCGACCAGGTCTTGGGACATCTCAAATAGTATCATGGTTATCTTTCACTCGCTATTCGCAAAGAGATTGTCCGCATTGTCGACGATTTACCCGATCTCGCTCGCGAACTCAGGAAGGTGCGGTATCCCAATGTCACTACTAGTCATATCCCGCAACTCGAAGTCTTTGAAGATGGGTTACAATGTCTCGGGGTTAAGGAGAATAGCTAAGGTTATGGACAGGTCTATCGGACCACTTGGTCAATGTAGCAGCATTGTAAGAGCCAACACGGCTAGGCCAATGAGCAGAAACGAGGAGGTGACGTTCGGACTAAGCACACCCACACTTCTAATCGTATATGGGCCGAAGGACAACGTTACCAGACTTTCTTTCACTTTAAACCATGGTCTCGGCTGTTTCTTATCGATCAATCTCGAGCGGGGGTGGACTAGAAAGGCGTTTCCCATATCGAGGAAATATTGCAACGTAGGAAGGCTATGCTAGTATAACATCGACGTACTTTGGAGGAATATCGACGGCGGAAGCCCATCGGGGATAGGGAGCACTACTACACGGCCAACGCATGGCTCGAACGGACCGGGTGGGAACACCATCTCCAGAATTATACGAGGGCTCAACTTCCCGAGCTTATTCGACTTCCGCAGCGAGAATAGTTAGTGGGTCGCGAAGGCGATGAAGAGAAGGAAGAGCGTCGAGTTGAAGAACTACGACTCTGGCGAGCATACCGAATGACGGCGAAGATGATCTCTCGCGCCCAAAGTGTTTACTATCCATCGAAAATGGGGTTGTCAGCGCTGTAGTTATTAAATTGTCGAGAAATTGGGTAATCGTCCAACGAGAAACCGTTCTATGGTCGACAATATCAGAAGACTATCAGTCTCTACACTCAACACTGGACATACATTTTGTGTTACATCTGGCGCACACACGATAGTAAAGTTCTAGCCCCCGGCTATTGTCTCAATAACCGGTAGAGATAGCGCTTCGCGGCATTCCGACAGGCTATGGATCTCTTTGACCGATGCAAGGATCGAAACACTTAGTAATATATAGAATAGGTATATTTGGCATTTTGGGTATCATTATTAGACCACGATCTCGGTAGCTATCAATACCAAAACGCTTTGGTAAGTGATGCCGCGGTCTTAGGCTGAGACGCGGTAAGGAAGGTCTAGAAACGTCCGCAATTATATACTCAGATTCTCTCGGGATTGATCACCGTGGCTCGCATAATCGTGGGACTTTACGCGTACGAGGAATATAAAGCGGAGGTTCGACGTCTTCATAACGAAGGTAGAGAGAACGCTACTATCGAGCAACGAGCCCCGTCCATTTTCAGTCTCGTCTAGTCTATAGTGCAACGCTTTATAACTTTGACCCAGTTTAACGGCACCCCGAGCCCGATGGATTTCTTCTACTACACTCAGACGATTAGCCGAAGTATTTGCATAAACACGGCGAGTGAAGGCCGGGTCAGTTAGCACAACAACGAAGTTCAATACAATTCCACCCGATTTACTATATCGAAATTGAGAGGTATAGTTCACGGCTTGGTTAAGAAGACGCGGAGTCGACTACATCGAGACTTGTTACTCTTAAACTTGGACTAGCATAGACAAGTCTAGAAGGGCAGTACACCCATTCCCGCATTAGATTTGAGTGCTCTTCGTGATGATCCCACCAACATCACCGATGGCTGGAGCTTCTTATCCGGTAATAAGAGTGTATTGTCGGTCGACGGGGCGGACTGGTTATATAATCGAGTATTTACGGAGAGTTATCTTCGGCAGCAGTTTATTCTAGCCGATTCCGCGGCGGATCATGGCCAATCTAGCATTCATTAGCGTCCGGCCCGGATTAAGAAGTATTTCGATACTGTTTATCAGTTTAAGAAAGACTTACTGGTACTGATCCACATGACGGGTAGTGGTCCCGGGCGCGGAACCGAAATCTTAACCGTTCGACACCGCAATGACAGTACCGGTAAAGGGCGAGGGATTTTCATAGATAGTAGGCTAGTGGACATTGTCGTCGGCTACTACAAAGGCTATGGCTTTAGTGTAAAGTCGAAGATTGTTCACCGATTCTTACCGCGTGAAGTAAGCGAGTTGGTAGTGTACTATCTTTAGTTAGTATAGCCGTTTGTGGAAATCTTGCAAATGTACCATAACGGTCAGAAAGACTTTGAGGCTTGGTTATGGGAACCGAGAGGGAGGGATAAAGTGAATACCGACGAGGATAATGACGATTTTGACGACGAAGGTCCGGAATGTGAATCAGAACCGTTAGTCGATGAGGCCGGGGACGATGAGTTTGAGCGTGATATGAATCCCACCGTGGAAGAACAACTACCTAAACCGGCGTCGACCAATATCGATAGCTTCTGGGATACGAATCGCGTTCGATATACACTAGAACGGGCGACCGAGTAAGGGATGGAAGCCAAGGTAGGTATCTTAGCGTGGCGTTATCTCATCAAGGCGATTATACGAGTATTCACCTAGGATCTATAGGTGTTATAGATATTCGAGGATAACCGGGGGAAGGACGAGAAGAGTGATAATGAGGTTCGCGATCGGCAATTCGGGTACAGTCTATGGGTGGCGGGTATAGTCTATAGCCGGGATATATAAGAGTATCCCGGTCAGACGGCTTACTAGCGCGAAGCATTTCGGCGAGTTAGTATAGAGTGGTATCGATTCTTAGGTTTTACGGGACTCACCGGTCACGGACGGACTATACCATACGCCGCGGTCGATGTCAGTTCCGAGGCGTAGCGCGTATAGAATCAGCGATAGTACGTATTGGCACGTACGGACTTGACATTGGCTTTGCAGGAGATGTTTAATGACCCTAAGGCTACGTTTCGTGGGAGACAACGTGACGTATTGGATACGATTGTGACTCGTCGAAGTTAGATTTTGGCGGTGATGGCCACGGGCGCGGTGTTACGAGTCGCCTTACAACACGTGAGGTGTCAACGAGCAAACCCGAGGTGGTTTACTTGGTGATATAGCAGTAGGGCTCAATGTAGCAGAGACGGAAACCAAGAGTACAGTATACAGCTGTACGTGAAGCGATTAAACCGAGAACAACTCGATTCTTTGTAACTGAGGTTAACTATATCGAAAGCTATAGACTTATACTGAGACTATATAGACAAAGGAGATTCGTATGGATCTATGTGGCTCTGTTTAGCCTTGGGAGCACAACAGAGTATACCGCTCTATGTAGCTCTATTTAGCCTTAGGAGCATAACAGAGCACATCACGTGCCCTGGCTCGTGTCGTCACTCCCTTCGGCAGACCTTCTCCCTTATTCCTATACTGTAGCCGTCCTTTTGGCCTATTCGTAACACTTCCCCCTCTCTAGCCTCTTTGTCGTCCTCGATATACTTAAGGTAGGCCGCTCCCCGACCCTCCTTTCTTTGTACTGCTTTTCTTTCTTATGGCTAACTATACGTTTTCAATCTAACCGTATTTCCAAGCCTACTCCTCGCATCTCCTCTACCTAACGTCGTAAAGCTGCTGCCGAACGAATTTAATCTCTCGGTCGCCAATTCTTTAAAATGGGCCGGTATTCGAACTATATCGCCTCGGACTCTCCCTATTGGATAATAGAAGGGCAGTCGATGTATAGTATATGTCGTGGAAAAAATAAAAAAGTTGGCGAATGTGATGGGTGTTTTTCGGTCTCCGATTTCGACAGCCTCTAGGATCAACGCGAGCGAATACAGCGTAAGGTGGAGGAGAAAGACAGGCGGATAGGGGAGCTGATTGCTTCCCTGATGTCAATCCAGCGTGAGAAGGACCAGTTACAACAATAGATACAACGCCTCCTTGGTGAACAAAAAAGGATATTGTCACGAGAGTTGGAGGCCCTAGACGCTATCGACACAGCGTCGGCCTCGGACGACTCATCGCGTTTTGCCTTTGCGTTAGACCCGGCTTTGGAACCGTCGGTTCAATAAATGGCCGAGTTCGAGGGTCTCTTCCCTATCCTTAGTGACACTAGACAGTCCGCTCTTCCTACTTTAGCGAATCCATAATCTACTGGTTTCGTCTTTTCATCTCTTTATCTCCAGATATCCGCGCCATTCGGATAAGGTATTGGTGGTATTCAATAATAAGTAGCTTCGGTAAATCTTCCTTCTTTTCCTAGGTTTGTATTTCCTAGGCTGACCATCGTACTAAGTACTTTATTAGTAATAGATACCCTATGCTGGCGATTAACTTTTCCGGAGTTCTGCGTTCTGCGTACATTCCTATGAGGTTTTTACTTTAGAGGTATTATTGGACTTCTTTAGGTGGTAGGTTCTCTACGACTTCCTACGTATCATCTTCCGAGTCGTATCCTAACTATCTTACTAGGTAGACTGGTTTAAGCTCTTCGGTTTCGGGTTGGTGTTTGATAATTTTATCAATAAAGAAGTTATTTTCATTAACTAGTGGCCCGTACTTCCGGTGATACTTCCGTATATCTTATCTATCTAGGTTGTTAAGTGGCTCCCACGTATTTTCTTCCTTTAGATATCCCTTCTACTTGATTAAGTAATGTGGTACCCCGTCTTGTACCTCACATTTCTCGATCCTCTCGACTTCGTACCTTGATTCTTAAGTCTCCGGGTCTATCTCTACAGGTCCCGGTGTCGCGTCCGGGTTCTTACACAACTCGAGTCTGTCTTTGTGAAACATAGGATATACTCTCAAGTTTACTAGTAGTTCAACCTCGAACGTAACTAGTCCTAACTTCTTCTTAATGCGATAGAGTCCGATTTTTGTATGATCTAGTTTATCGCTTAGTCGTTTTATTTTGATGTTTTTTCGTCGTATATAGACTATCTCCCTCTCTTTGAGGTCTAGTCCCTTAGATCTTTTCTTGTTTTCTCTTATTATTGTTTTTTCTACTATCCTTTATAGTTCTTTTTACATCATTTCATATAGTGTCTTGATGTTTTCGATTTGTATTTTTACTTCCTCTGATATTGGTTTTCTGAATTTTGGTTCCGTGAATGTCTTTGGGTGTTTCCCATAGTTCGCGAAGAACGGCGATATTCCTGTGACGGCTGTGCTGTTGTTAAATGCCATTTGTGCCGTGGACAGTAACTACGCCCAATTGTCCTGCTTATAATTGACGTAGCACCGCAAGTACTGTTCCAGCGTTTGGTTTGTTCTTTCCGTTTATCCATCCGTCTATAGGTAGTATACTGTCGACAACTTGTGTTTCGTCCCTAGTAGATCCGTGAGGGATTGCCAGAACTGTGACGTGAACAGCTTGTCCCTATCCGATATGATTTTATCTGGTATTCCGTATTGTGCGATTATTGTCCTCACAAATAGGTATGCGAGATCTTTTGCTATAGCTTTTTCTATGAACGGTAGTATATAGGCGTACTTCGTTAGTCTTTCCACAACTACTATGATACTATCGTACTCCTTGCCCGTGAGGGGCTCTTTAGATTTCGGTAGCTTCGTAATGAAATTAATCGCGATGGAGCTCTATGGTTTGCTTGGTATTTATGGTACCATCAGGAGTCCGTAAGGCCTATACCTTTCCTTTTTTGTTTTCTTACAGACGTCGCACTTCCCGATGTACTCTTCCACGTCTCGTCGTAGGCCCTTCTAAGTGAAGTCCCTCGTGATGAGTTCGATCGTCTTTGCGATTCTAGGATGTCCCGCAAGTTGACTGTCGTGTCTTTGTTGTAGTACCTCTTTCTTTTGTTATTCTATGAGGTTAATGTCCATGACTACTAGTGTGTAGTTATACCCCCTATATTATAACGTTTCCCCGTTATCCCTGAGCAGCGAATCTGGGTTTGGCTGAGTAGTTCCCATATGGTCTGGTCTTCTACTTAAAGCGTCTGCTCGACCATTTTCCGTTCCTTTGATATGGTGGATTCTGAAGTCGTATCTTGCTAATGTTTCTACCTATCTAACCTATCGTCGGTTTAGTTCCTTCGTTATTGTCTAATATGTAAGATTCTTATGGTCTATATAGATCTGTATGGGGAATTTCGCCCCTTCTAGATATACTCTCCACTGTCTTAATGCTTTCATAATTACTAGTAGTTCTTTATTATGGATGTCGTAATTTGACTCCGGTTAAGTTATTCGTCTCGAGTAATAAGCGATAGGTCGTGATCGGCCGTTTTCGTCCTTCTGTGAAAGATAGGCTCCTATTGCTTCATCTGACGCATCCGTTTTAAGTATAGCTTCCTTCTCCGGATCGAATAGTATGAGGACTGGCGTAGAGGTTATCTGTCGCTGTAGCTCGTTGAAGGCTTTCTCACATTCCTCGTTCCAGTCGAAGCTTTGTTCTTTCCTTATTAAGTTTGTAAGGGGTGCCGCGATTCTTAAAAATCCTTGGATAAACCTCCTATAGTAGTTGATAAGTCCTAGGAACTGTTGCACTTCCTTGACGTTTCTTGGTACTGGCCAGTCGTTAACTGCTTATACTTTGTCAGGGTTCGGCGTAAGTCCTTATGTCGACACGATATAGCCTAGGAATGCTATCGTGTATTTGTGAAATTCGCATTTACTCAATTTGATTGGCAGATCCTTTTCCTTGAGCGCTTGTAGAACTAGTCGAATATGCCGAATATGCTCTTTATAGGTCTTGGAGAATATGAGGATGTCGTCTAGATATGCAACAACAAATTCGTCCAAGTATTCTCTCAACGTGTCGTTTATGAGTGCCTGAAAAGTAGCGGGAGCGTTAGTTAGTCCAAAGGGCATTACCTAGTACTTAAATAATCCCCATCTAGTTCTGAACGCTATCTTCCACTCCTCTCCTTCTTTCATCCTTACTCGGTAATAGGCGTCTCTAACATCGATTGCCGTAAACTATTTTGCCCCTAATAACCGATCTTGTAGCTCGTCGATTCTCGGTAGTGGGTATCGGTTCTTTTTTGTGATAGCGTTAAGTTTTCTATAATCAATGTAAGGTCTTAACTCTCCGTCCTTCTTATTTACGAAGATAACTTTATGTGAGATTTTGGATTCTAAAGGTCTAATGAACTTCTTTGCTAAGTGTTTCTCGATATAGTCTTTGAGGAAGTCTTCTTCTTTTTTGGATATTAGTATTAGTCCTCTATAATATATTAGTTCCTTCCCATCCTCGAACGGGATTTCATAGTCCTATAGTTTATATTCGGGTAAGGCTGCTTCGCCTTATCGTTCTTTCGTAAGACTTTCGAAATCTTTATATTCCGGTGGTAGTTCTTCTATACTAGAACTAGCTAGTATTCTTTCCATCGGTCGTACTAACACTATTCTTATTAGAACCTTTGAAGTTGATTAGGCTTCCGTTTTCTTGGTGCTGCGTGCCGTAAATGTTAAAGTCTTCGTCTTCCAGTCGATCATTAGGTTATGTTCTTGAAGCCAGTTCATTCCCAATATTATATCGAATTATAGTATTATCGTGACATCTAAGGTCGCTTATTCCTTATGTCCTGAAATCGTCAACGGAACTTCTTTTAATTCGTGAGTAATCCACTTTAACAGTCGTCTATCTGCCATCGTAAGCGGATACGGAAGCTGTTTCCTTACTTTATATTCGTATAACTATTTAGCTATGCTGGTGTTGATATAGCTTCGATTGGCTCCCGAGTCGATCATGACCGATACTTGGAGGTCCGCCAGTTCTGCCGTGAGGACTGCGTGGCGGCTATCCGCGGTCATCTCTCTCAACTCTTGAGGCTTTCCAATCCTTAGATTGTTATTATGACTTCCTCGCCTCTTTAGGTCGTCACTCACAAGTTTTTTGGCCAATGTACGTATAGTTCGTCTCTCTATCCGCACTTCTCGTTTTGACATTCTTCCAATCTTCCGAATACTCCGTCCGGATGTATTGGTACATATGGTACTGTTAGGTCCACATTGTAAACGTATTTGTATGCGATTTATACAAGGTATTTTTCTTCATCAGGGTATGGGAAGTCTCCGGCGATAAAACTTCCGTCGGCCCTGTCGTCGACTAGCTCGTCTAGAACGTATGGCCAATTAGGGCTCCCATTACCTTCTACACTATCAACGAACATCATATTCAGGTTGCTGTTTTAGTAATACATATATAACTCCTTCCTCCAAGGGCACTCTTATTCTTCACATATTACGCCGGCGGCTAGTAGGCTACCGTACACTCCCTTAGGGATTAGGAACTCTAGGTATTTCGGATCGACATTATAGTAATGTAGGTACTGTTCTTTTTCGTTGCAGAGTACCTCGTTACACTCTAGTCTCCTACAGTAGTGATCTGGGTTTTCGCGGTCGTCGATCACTCTCCACTTTCTCAGTGGTCCTATCCGGGATAGGATTAGCTCTTCCATAACTCCTATATCTTTCCAGAATTGTTCCTATTGAGTCCTTTACTTGACGACTTTCTTCATCATTCCCTCTGGAATGTTGATTCTGACAGTATTAGGTTCTACCGATTAGTGTGTGTGGCTGTTTTCTTTCTCTTCGCATTCTCTATCCTAATACTACCATAGGGTAACCTTACGTATTATTGTTCTTGGGATTTCGTATAGTGTGAACACGACATGCCGGTGTCCCTCATCGTACACATAGTCTTCCTCACAAGGTTTCACGTCCTAATAGTTTGTTACGATTTCAACTTCTTTTCCGTCTATGCTGAGTATGACGTATTATCGTAAGACAATATCATCGCTCATTGTCAAGTTTTCATCTTCTTCGTCGATGATCGTCCCGTCATCTCGGTAACTCTCGCATAGTGCGCACCCCTTAGCGCATCCTATTGTTGAATCGTCACTATTATCGTCTATATTCCTAATATTGGCCTACGCTTTCAATATATACGCGGCTACGTTATATTCCCAGCATCTCGGATGCGTATGATCACGGTCAATGTAGCGTACTACGTTATGTAACTCGGATCTCGTCATCATATTGAGGCTTTGCGGTGGTACTATCGGTACCGTAACTACGTCTTCCCCTTTTCCCACGTGCGAATATTCCCCTAGAACGGTATATTCCACGTTCTTACATATTAGTAGGTGTACTAGGATAGGTTCGGCTGGTGATTGACTCAAATCAATAATAGGGTGCCTATGTTCCCTTATCATCCCATAGTTATCCTTATACCAACACCTTATACTCCTCCAATATGGGGTGACCAGTATCAGGTTCCTATCGTCATGTTTGATCACGACAAACATAGTAGGGTCGTTTGGTTCTGGTGTACGCATCATCCAGATACCTTGTGTGTCTTCGATCTTCTCATTTGTGGCCCTGAATACTTCCTAGCGCTTTAGTATTACTCTGGCCTTCCTGATTTTCCGCGGTTACTTTGGAAACTATCCACTCCCTGCCTTCTCGGAGTAGTGAATGAGGTAGTCATCTACGTAATATACCGTCCAGGATAAGATCTTATGTCGTTCGTTAAGTTCCTGTTCTTCTAAGGTAGCTTCTTCCTTGGGAACCGTTTCCTTATGGTGGGGTCCACCTACCTGTTGTTGAGGCTCCGTACCTGGGTGGCCTATCTGTGCTGTCGTACCCTGACTGTCGGCTGTCATCTGGGTTTCCTGTGAAGTATCGGCCTTTGTTTCTTCATAACCGGCTGTACCGTCGTCTATCATATGCAGCGTACGGACCGTTTTGCATTCCTTCGTACGGTGTCCGGATTTTCCGTATGTATAGTATAGATTTTCCTTCTTACGTTTCTCTCGCTCCGACTTTGACACCCCACGCCCTAGTTGTTTCTTCTTGCGATAATCCTCCGGGGCCGCTCGAACGCGTGCCTGCTAGCGGTCTGGTCCTGCGCGGAGGATATCCAAGTCCATTAGGTCGCCGTAGTGTTGTTTGTTCTTGTAAGTCGTACCCCCAAAATATGATCCCTTTCTTTCCAACTGTCGTTCGTATAACCAGTTGTCGATCTCGATAGAACGTTCAACGAGTAGCTTATACTCGTTGGGACGATCCGTTCCTATCCTATCTTTAACCGAATCCTTCAGGCCTTAGTAATAGGCTGAGGCGAAAGCTTTATCCTCCTAGTTAAGCTTTGACGCTAGGCGTTAGAACATGGCGTAATAGCGAGCCGTAGATCCAGTCTACTTGAGTTAATAGATCCTTTGTGAGGCTGCTTACTCCTCCCCTGGCATCCCAAAGATCTATTTAATACGTTCCTCATACACCCCGAAGTTTCCAAAGATCAAATTGGTCTCCTCGTCTCGTTATCCGATAGCAGATCCAAGATAATCTTTCATGATGGGTTCGAACCATTTAAACACAGATCCGCGAAGTTAGAGTCCTGCGAACAAGACTCGCTCCGCGTGGGTGGAGTACTTGGCACGTTGCAAGGTAAACACAGCCTTCAACTGCACAAGATACATACCAAGCTTGCTTCTATCCCTATAGAAGTGTTCAACCTTAAGGTCGTCTTTCATTTTTCCGACGTCCATATTGTTAACGGTTAGTGTATTAATACTTATTGAAGATACGTTAGGTTGTTAGGTAAGCCTGGGCTCGGGTGATTTGGGGTTGGAGTTGCTAGATATAGCCGTTGATTCCACTTGCTATCCAAGAAGATAGTCAAAATGTTACGAGTCGCCTTACAACACGTGAGGTGTCAACGAGCAAACCCGAGGTAGTTTACTTAGTGATATAGCAGTAGGGCTCAATATAGCAGAGACGGAAACCAAGAGTACAATATGCAGCTGTACGTGAAGCGATTAAACCGAGAACAACTCGATTCTTTGTAACTAAGGTTGACTATATCGAAAGCTATGGACTTATACTGAGACTATATAGATAAAGGAGATTCGTATAGATCTATATGGCTCTGTTCAGCCTTGGGAGCACAATAGAGCATGCCGCTCTGTGTGGCTCTGTTCAGCCTTGGGAGCATAACAGAGCACATCACGTACCCTAGCTCGTGTCGTCACTCCCTTCGGCAGACCTTCTCCCTTGTTCCTGTGCTGTGGCCGTCCTTTTGGCCTGTTCGTAACACGCGGGTAAGAGCTTATTATTTATACTACCGGCTATGTTAAGTCCGTAAGGTATGATAGTGGTAGTGATACCGCTATTGTCACTAGGGGATGACTTGCAAGATCGATGCACGAAATAGGGGATTCGATGTGAGAAGTGGAACGCCGATAAACAGCCCGACGGCGCTCAAATTATACTGGTGACCCCCGAAGGAATAGCGAGCGACGCATTTTATACTTTTATGAATCGATAGCGGATGATGGGAGTGCTCGATCGAATCGTGTTCGATGAATGCTACGTGGTTAAGGACTCTATAGACGGATTCCGGTTAAAGGTGTTAGACTTAGATCGGCTCAGTCGATATCTTAGGGTTAGGGTTAGGGTTAGGGTTAGGGTTAGGGTTAGGGTTAGGGTTAGGGTTAGGGTTAGGGTTAGGGTTAGGGTTAGGGTTAGGGTTAGGGTTAGGGTTAGGGTTAGGGTTAGGGTTAGGGTTAGGGTTAGGGTTAGGGTTAGGGTTAGGGTTAGGGTTAGGGTGAGGGTTAGGGTTAGGGTTAGGGTTAGGGTTAGGGTTAGGGTTAGGGTTAGGGTTAGGGTTAGGGTTAGGGTTAGGGTTAGGGTTAGGGTTAGGG